GCCCAGAGTTCCCCCATTGGGGGGAGATGGGCGGTTGAAAAATGTAATAAATAAAATAAAATAAATAAATAAAATAAAACTGTCTTGCAACCACACCAAGATCTCACCCGGTCCAGCAATGGCCGCTTTGAGAGACTCCTCATTCTTCCTGCGCAGCTCAGCCACCTCTTGTTGCAGCTGCTGCATCTTCTCCAGCTCCAGCTCTTCCGTGGATTTCCCTTTGGCGGAGGGACCCCTCGTCCTGAAGACGACGACACGACAGTGTCTTCAAAAGAACCAACGAGCCGTGCGGACCCAGCGTATACTTCAAGAACACCTCCCGTAACAGAAGACCAGCGTGCGGGATGTCTTCTTCCTCTACCCAGTGGCTGGATTCACACAACATGCTTCGAGCTATTCTTTTATTTTTATGTATTTTAATTATTATGGGATGTATACCCTGCCTTTCTAGCTGTTGGATAATCCAGGCGGCTTCTGCCCGTACAAATCCAAAAGTTAAACTAAAACTAGCAATACAGTTAAACTCCCGATTACACCAAGTATTAGGAGAAAGTAAATCAACAGTTACAAGGGTAAGGCGAAGAGAGGTGCTTTGACCAACTTCTTAAATGGTGGGAGAGGAAGGGCCCAACGCATCCCCCAGCCTGGGAGAAGGGCCTTTCCCATCAACCAGAGAGATGGGCTTCTGGAAGAGGGTAGACTCCCAAGGGCCTCTGCTGATCCCTGAATTAGCCCATATTTTTGGTTTGCACAATTCATGGAATCAGAGGCAGGGTGGGGTCTCACACACACACACAAACACCGACACTAATGCCCCTCCTCCCCTCGTAAGGTTCACGCTAGCGAAGCTCAATCTGTCGGGGAGTGTGGGAGCTTGGCCCTTTCATCATCTGGTTAAGCGTGCTGGGTGAGCTCAGCTAATTGTTCCAAAGCCTATTTGGAGCCAAGAACCAATGGAAGTGGGCTGAGGGCCAACTCTCACTACCACAGTCACAGGTAAATGTGCTTTTCTCTAGGAATGGAAGGATTCTGCCAAGGAAGAGGGAACCAACCCAGTGGCCTCCCTTCCCACCTGCTAGATGAACTGCAACCATGTGATAGGTCAGTGTTTCTCAACCTCAGCCACCTTTTTAAGGCTCGCCCTCCACCTCCTCACACACACACCCCCACCAACACCCACCCCCCCCCTCT